CCCCAAACCAACATCTGGAACACTGCCATCTGAATACGCCCATTAGGGTTGATATTTAAATGGAGGAGCATCTTGTGCATTGAAATGCTGACAATTTAGGTGGAAACGTTCATAGATTTTAAGACCAGACGGGACCACTGGGATCATCTAGTCTGACCTCCTGCATAACCCAGGCCATGGGTCTTCCCTCACTTGATTCCTGCTTCAAGTCCAAGCGGCGTGGTTAAACTGGAGCAGATCTTTTGGGAAAAACATCCAATCCGGATTTTAAAATTGCCGGTGATGGAGAATCCACCACACCCCTAGGTCGGTTGCTCCAATGGTTAATTACCCTCACTATTAAAACGCTGCACCTTATTATCTGTGACCATTGACCCCCCAGCACCATGATCCCTACGGTGGCTTAGAAAATCCCACCAGGAATGCGCAGTACGACCTGGATTCTTTTTCCCTCCCTGTTTTCATCATGCTGCTGCAGCTAGCTACATGACCACTGATCTTCTGCATGACAGACCCAGGCATGACGGATCTTCTGCATGACCGTGCCAGGGCACAGAACGCCCCCAACGAAGGGTGTCCCATGCCCCCAGGGGGGTCTCGTTCTGACCCGTTTCCCCATGTCTAGCTCAGCGGAGGGGATCTAAAGCTGCGGTTGCACTGGCCCAGGCACCTTGCAGCCACAGGACAGTCTCTGCTGGTGTGAACCCATGGAAGTCAATTTACACAGCCAGAGCATCTGCCCTTGAACGTCTGCAGGGACATAAACACCCGCTGCAGAGCTCTGAGGCCGGCTCCTGAGTTCTCTCTCTCCCCTGCCCCTCTGGAGGGTACAATACCCTCTGCAGGGCTCCCAACCAACACACTAAAGCCCAGGGATCCAACCCAGGCCCCACTGAAATCAATGGGAGTTTTGCCATTGACTTCAGTAGGGTCAAGATTTACACCCCAGGCCTTGCCCATGGAGTTGCTCTGGGCTACCTGCCCCAGCTGCAGGCTAGCCTCGGGTGCTTTCATGCAGTGCAGATGATGGCGAGTATCATTTAAACCCATACCACAATGGGTGCTGCCATCAGTTTGAGATACGTGTGGATGTTCAGCGTGGCCAGTGATTGCACCATGGGAGTCCTCCTACACGGCTGGGTCAGATCCGGGACCCGCTGACAATGGCAGAAGAAGAGTCGAGCAGACAATGCATCAGAATCTTCATGGCTAGAGGAGAAAAACAATACACTGAGACTGTGTTTGTCACAGCGCTGGGTACATGCCCCCCATGTCTCCTCTCAGTGATCCAGCCAGGGCAGCCATTCTTGGCTTCCAGCTCCCCTGCCGCGGCCTTTCTGGGTGGAGACGGGTGTTTCTCTCCCTTCTGACCAGGGTATGTCCAGGCTGCAC